AACAGTACAGAATTGGCATAAAAACAGACACACAGACTAAATGGAATTAAATAGAGAGCTCAGAAATAAACCCACACATTTATGGTCAATTAGTTTATGACAAAGGAACCAAGAATATACAATGGGGAAAGGACAGTCTCGTCAATAAATGGTACTGGGAAAACTGAATAACCACATGCAGAACGGACCCTTATCTTACACCACTCACAAAAAGTAACTTGATATGGAGAAAAGACTTACACGTAAGATCTGAAACCGTAAAACTCCTAGAAGAAAGTGGGAGGGAGAGGGGGAGGGAATATAACACCAAAAAAACACTAGCAACAAAAGCCAAAAAAAAAAAAAAGTATGACATCAAACTAAAAAGCTTTTATACAGCAAAGATCAGCAAAATGGAAAGGTAACCTATGGAATGGGAGGAACATTTGCAAATCACATATCTGGTTTTACTATATAAATCATATATCTGGTTTTAAGGAATTACTATCCAAAAATATATTTAAAAATTCATAAAACTCAACAGCAAAAACATAATTAAAAAATGGGCAGAGGATCTGAAAAGATATTTTTCCAAAGAAGACATACAAATGGCAAGAGGTACAGAAAAAAGTGCTAGACATCATCAATCACCAGGGAAATGCAAATCAAAACCACAATGAGATCACCTCATACCTTTTATCACCAAAAAGACAAGAGTTAACAAGTGTTGGCAAGAATGTGGAGAAAAAGGACTTCTTGAGATCCATTGTGGAAATGAAAATTTGTTCAGCCACTATGGAAAACAGAATAGAGTTTCCTCAAGGAATTAAAAATAAACTACCAAATGATCCAGCAGTTCCATCTGGATTTATACCCAAAGGAAATGAAAACAGGATACTGAAGAGATATGTGCACTCTTATGTGCATTGCAGCATTATTCATAAAAGGCAGGATGTGGAAATAACCCAAGTGTCTGACAATGGAGAAATGGATAAAGAAGATGTAATGTATTAGTCAGCCATCTAAAGAATGATATCTTGCCATTCATGACAATATATGGATGAAACTATGCTAAGTGAAATAAGTCAAATAGAGAATGATAGATACTGTGTGATCTTATTTACATGTGGAATCTAAAAAAGCCTAACTCATAGAAACACAGAGTACAGTAGTGGTTACCAGGTGTTGGGGGCAGGGGACAGGGTGATGATTGGAGGAAATGAGATCTTTGGATTAAAAATGTTGATCAAAGGATATAAAATTCCAGGTATAAGATGAGTAAGTTTCAGGAATCTAATGTAGAGCATGGTGATTATAGTTAATAATATTGTTTTATATACTTGAAAATAGCTAAGAGAGTAGATCTTAAATGTTCTCACCAAAAAAAGAAAGAAAGAAAGAAATGGTAATTATGTAATGTGATGAAGGTGTTAGCTAATGCTATGGTGGTCAATATTTTGTAGCATTTAAGTGTACCAAATCAACAAATTGTACACCTTAAACTTATACAATGTTACGTCATTTATATCTCAATTAAACTGGGAGAAAATAGACATAGATTCAATAGAGGAAAATACGTTTTTGTATTTCCCATTCACGGCATTAATAGGGCCTTCATGAGAGAGCGATGTCCAAAGGTCTGTGCTTATCCAGTCTCAGGGCACAGGAATGAGTGTGTCACATCCCTCCTCTAACATGAGCCATTTCCCATTCTACCAACACTCCCACCTTCTTCAATGCTTCTTTTTTGAACTGATATCAAGGTCTGGAGCTTTTGGTTACTAAATTTAAAACTCAAATGACTATATGTAGCATAACCAAAAATGGGCAGTAGAGAGAAGTATAAGATGTGGTACTATTGGAGTCCCTAGCTCCCCAAATGGACCACATACAGGGGTCCCCTTTTATCCATGGGGAATATGTTCTGAGACCCCCAGTGGATGCTTTAACCCAGAGAAAATACCTAACCCTATACATACTACGTTTTTTCCTAGACATACATGCCTTTAATAAAGTTTAATTTATAAGTTAGGCACAGTAAGAGATTAACAATAACTAATAATAAAATAGAACAATTATAATATACTGTAATAAAAGTCATGTGAATGCGGTCACAAAATATCTTATGGGACTGTACTCACCCTTCCTGTGGTGATATGAGTTGCTACAATTCCTACGCAATGATAAGAAGTGAGGTGAATGACATAGGCATTGTGACGTAGCATTAGGCTACTATTGACAACCTCAGCATACGATTTTTTTCTTTCCTATCTAAGTCAAGAACTTTCACCTTTTTCTTAAAGGAAGCACTTTAAGATTTCTCTTTGGTATCTTCAGATCGCCACTCTTCTGCTTTTGGGCCATTATTAAATAAAATAAGAGTGACTTGAACAAAAGCACTATGATACCTCTACAGTCAGTCTGATAACCTAGCCGGCTTCTCAGCAATAATGGGCAGGAAACATTTACTGCCACTCTTCTGCTTTTAGGCCATTATTAAATAAAATAAGGGTGACTTGAACAAAGCACTATGATACCACTACAATCAGTCTGATAACCCAACCGGCTTCTCAGCAATAATGGGCAGGAAACATTTACAGCGTGGAGACACTGAACAAAGAGATGATTTATGTCCCAGGCCCCACGGAGCTGAATGTCATGAGATTTTACCACACCACTTAGAATGGCACATAATTTAAAACTCGTGAATTGTTTATTTCTGGAATTTTCCATTGAATGTTTTCAGATCACAGTTGACTGCAGGTAACTGAAACCGCAGAAAGTGAAACTGTGGACAAAGGGGGACTAGTGTAGTTTTATTTTCCATATTTTAAAAGGAGTTGATGTGTCACACTATTATAGCAAATCAATAGAACTTTGAGTGATATTTTATCATCAATATAGCTGATTGAATGTACTACCATGTTTCACGCTCTCATGTCCGATAGTCAGACTCTCTCGTAACCCCAACATTCTCCTCAATTATGAGACATGTGGTGATGTAGCAGGAGCACATGATCCCCTTTACCACTCTCTGTTTTAGCCACAATAAGTAGAAAGCATCCCTGTCGACAAAACAGACACCATCCCCTGGCATTTCATGGTGCCTTTATCTGGTTTCATATTGATTAAAGGTATTTTGTTTTTGTTTTTAATAAAAAGGAAAAGAATAAATGAGTAACGGCCAGTAGCCACACTAAATTGCTACCAGCTGTTCTGCAGTTAGGCATACGAGTTCAGCATTCGTTTTACAATTAGACAGCTTTTGTATGTTAGAGTCACTGTATGTTTTAGAAAAGAGCCAAACATTTACTGACTTCTCCAGATAATTTAAAAGCTGCTACAAATACCGATGACTGTTGAAAAATTTCTGGAGTTTTTAAAAATCTAGTTTTGAGATAAAAGCACTTACCTATGATTACAGGTTTCTTGGACCCCTTCCCTGCTCCTTGCCTACTCCAAAAGTAAATAAATAAATAAAATGTGACTGGAGAACTTTCTATAAGGAACATATAAATCCCAATGAATGAGAGCATCATCTGATTCTCTTAATATTCATGAGACAACCAAGTGCCCTTAAATTAATTTCATTTTTTCTTTTCTTCCTCGTCTTTGAATAAGCCTATGTAAGCTTATTATCTCTTCCTGAATACTATGCCTGGATTCTCTTCCACATTGGTTTGTCTCTATGGTACTGAATCCATTTATCTTAAATTGATAGCATGACATACATATCCTTGTGTTTCAACAGGTTTCCCTGCTCAGCTTCTCTTAGAATTTGCCTTTACCTCTCCAAATTATGTACCATTTTTTCTGAAAGCATTTCCCAATGTCTCCATCCAAATGTTCTAGCTGCACAGTAGCAGAATTGTCATGAGATTTGGGTCCTATAGGTGCCTCATGTAGGTTAGTTTCTGAGCCCCACCATCAGACTCATTTAATAAAAAGACCATAAAGACAAGAGTCCCAGACTCAAGGTTACAGAAACCTCATAGTCTTCAATCCTCACAAATGCATAAAGGAATGATTAGAAAGATAAACTCTGAATTTAAGAGGTTTTTCAAGAAGATTGACTTCTCGGAGGAATTCACTTCAGAATCCTTAAAAATAGCAAAAGAAAAAACACCCAAACAGACCTAAAATCTTCAAAAGGAGTTAGACCTGGACATTAGAAGAAATTCTATGAAAGCAAATTGGTTTTAGACAAAACATATATTTTATTACTACTTTTATAATGGGAGTTGGGAAACAGGAGGGAGTAAATCACAAAGTGCTGGGTAAAGAGTGTGAAGTTTTACATTTCCTATGCAAAAAGAGTTGGAATCACTCAGAAATTCTGGTCACAGAATTTCTTGCAAGGGTCCTCATGCCTTGCAAGATCCAAGTTGGGGTCATTCGTGCTGGGAGCTCCATAACTGACCCAAGGGGATGGCAGTTCCCTCAGTGCCCTGAGCTCTCACTCTGTGGGCATAATTTATGGAGCCCAGTACAAAATGAAAATGCAAAGTCTCTTGTTAAAAAATCAAGTATTTCAGGATGGTGACAACAGCGCATTAAGCTAAGCATGTGGCCCTTCTAAGCACAGGGCCCTGTGTGGCTGCACAGATCACGAGGCCGTGAAGCCAGCGGGTCTGTGCGAATGACAGCTCTCTCATCTCTTTTCCATCCCTCCCCTCTTACCTCTATCCCCTTAACTTCCACATCTTGCTTTTTTAGTGCAAAGTCCCTGGGAGGCTCACAGAGGGAAATTCAGAGCTCTGAAACTGCCTGGGCCCATGGGCCCTATGGTTGCTTCAACTTGAAAAGAATTCAGTTCCTGGAGACACTCAATATTTTCTTAATCTCCTTCTCCAAATCTGCCTGGTAAGGCGGTGTCTGGCCTTCTGGCAGAAGTCGAGAACTTCTCAGAAGCTTAGAGGTATCAAAGCTATCTCTTGCAAACCATAAGATGAAAATGTACTAACCTTTGTTTCTTTTCCCCTCTAATTTGATTGCGTGGGAACTTCCTTTCCTGTCAATAGAATGGAGGTAAGATATTGTTCTTATATCAATGTTTTGTTTTGTTGTGTTTTAATTTTTGTTTGACATGCCATTTATTGTCTATGTGCTGAGCACTGCAATCTTTCAGAAACTTTCTAATTCCTCTTCTTTTTAATACTCTTACAAGATGATGATGAAGATAAGTAACATCTATTGAATACTTAGGATGTATCAGGTACTGTTTTAAGGGTTTTACATGTATTATTTAAAGTTATCCTCAGGAAGTCCCTATGAAATAGGTTCTGTTGTTATTCCTATTGTACAAAAGAGAAACTAAGAGAGTTTCTCTGAACTTACATAGCTAGTAAATTATAGGCTCGGAAGGGAAACCCAGAACCAAACTCTCCTTCATTGTTTTGTCCTGTAGATAAGGAAATGTCTTCTTAGAATATAACACTTTGCAACTCACAGTGTGTTATTTGCAGTAAAATTGACTTTCATAGAAACTCTATGAAATTATAACTATTTTTATCTGATTTTACAAATGATGAAACCAAGATTCAGAATGATTAATTTATAATAGTAATAATGATAATAGTAGTTAAGTTTTGGGCTACATATGATTACTACTTCTCTCATATTAACATTTCAGTAACTTTTTGGGGACAAGAACTATTTCTATTTTTTCATATGAGGAACCTGATGCACCAAGAGTTGCCCCAACCACATAGAAAAATGCAAAGTCTCAATCTGAGCTTAGGTAGACAGACTCAAGAACTTCGATTGGTAACCACTAACCTAGATAACATAGTAACTGAGCAGGACCTAAAACCCCAGCACTGCTTCCAGTTCTATGGAATGAAATGACTCATTGCATGCAAAAATTTTGTTAGTTCTCGATCTTGTCCCAACTCATATAGCTTTGATGCATTTATTTACTTGTCACAGTTCTAAGAGACAGAGTCATGATCCTTAAGGGCTCTACAGGATGGCTGAGTATCTTCTGAAGTGACATACAATACAAACGTAGTAAAAATTAAATTAAAATGCATGCCACCGACAGAAGAGATGCTATCTTTCATTCACACACCATTCAGCACACCTGTCCTCTCTGTACATTTTTAAACCACTCACTCTATTCCTGGCACTGTATTATACAGTAGAGAAAAAAAAAAACACACCAAATTTTACATATTCCCTCCCCCCAAGGAATTTACATTTTACTAGTTGACACACAGGCATGCATACACACACACACACACACACACACACACACACACACACAGACTAATTACAAGACAACATAATAATGGGAGCATATACAAATTCCAACGATGCAAGAATAGAAATAGATTGTTCACGTGCATGTAAATGCAAATGAAGAAGTTTAAATTCATTAGTATTCAAATAAATGCTAATTAAATACAAATTCCATCCTATTTTTTACTTGTGATAACACAAGCACTCTCAGACTCTGCTGGTAGAGACAAAATTGCTATAACCTTTGTAGAGAGCATTTGGCAATTTTTATTAAGAACCTTAAAATGATTGTATCTATTAATCGGATAAATCCACATTTAATAATCTATGTTAAGTAAATAATAAGTGTATGAACAATGAAATTTAAAACAGTCCTACATTTATAAGTGAAATATATGAGCAATGTCAATATTTACCAATAAAGTAAATATGTGATCTTAGGACAATGTTCTTGAAAAATATAGTGGCATAGGACAATGTTTATAATATCATGCTAAGTAAAAATACAGATACAAAGATAAATTTACAGAATAATTCTAATTACTCTGTAAATGTATTTATGTTCTATATATTTTTATTCTGTATATTTATATTCTATAAATATAATTATGTACTATGTATATATACTACATGTAGTATATATAATTATCTATTGTATTTATGTATATACTGATTATAACTGATATATGTACGAACATATAAAATATATAAAGTTTATATATTTGGCTAATATAATAAATTTTCAAAAATTTTTAAATTTCAAATTGTCTTTACAACACTCTTCATTTTACACAATAACTAGGTAGTAATTTTAGTCAGAAGAAACACAAGAGCTGTTTTTCAGAGAAGGCCATGTCCTTCCACTTGAGGACATTGGGTTTGGGTTTGACATTTCAGAAAAATGACATGTGATCCATGTCTCAGAGCAGAGGTTGGCAAACGTTTTCTGTAAAGGGCTAGATATTAAATATATTTGGCTTTGTGGGCCATACTGTCTCTGTTGCCACTGCTCAACTCTGCTGTTGCAGGGCCAAAACAGCGTAGACAATTCATAAATGGTTGAACATGGCTTTGCTCTGATAAAACTTTATATATAGACACCGAAATTTGAAATTCATATAATTTTCACTTCTTCTTTTGATTTCTTTCAACCATTTAAAAATGTAAACATCATTCTTGGCTCACAGATGGTATAAAAAGAGGCAGCTGGCTGAAATTGACCTGTGGGTTGTATTTGCTGATCCTGCCTTAAAGAATGAACCATATAAAATGACACTAGGTGTGAAAGAATGAAAACAATTCCAGTTTGCTTTGGGGATTGGAAGTGGCGTAGAACCCTGTTCATCACACTTATTGGTTGGGAAAGTATAGTGGGAGACCAGCCAGTTGGTAGATAAGGAAAGATTTGTCTACAGCAGAGGAGAGGTACAGGTGTGCCACCCCTTGGGAGGGTAGGGAAGGTGTGGCATTTCCACTGGGGTGATGGCGTCGCCTTCACTCAAACAAACCACAGCTGGTCATCTGCATGGGACCTTTGGACAAAACATTATGTGTTCCAAGGGAGTAGAGTTTTCCCTCACAGAAACTGCAAGACCGTGTTTAAAAGCGGGATTATGCATGTTAAAGCAAAGAGAAATAAAAGGTATAGTGAGAATCCTTTAAATATCCATTTAACCAAGGGAACTTGTCTGTTATAAAGCAAATGAAAACAAGGACTTGAGATCAAATATCCACTGCTGCCTTTAAAAAAAGAGAAAATTCACAGAAAGGAAGATCAGCCAGGTTTAGTTTGTCAGGAGAGAGAGGGACTTGGCTGCATGTGCAGTTACTAACATTTTTGGAGATAGTTTAGCAGATCATTCCAAAATAACCAGCATTCTATGAACGGATCCCTGTGACCTCTGCCCCACTGCTCAACAGACCAGTGAACAATAAACCAGCTGCTTCTGGTATTGCTCCATCGGCAGTCCCCAAAACTGCCTGCAGAGAAAAGTGACTTCAGTTGGACTGGGAGGGATCTCATCACTTGGCAAAAGACAGAAGAAGACACCACTGGAAATTTATTGCATTTATCTCATTCCCCAGTTTTTGCTGTGAGCTTCTTTGAAATTTAATTTAAGTGATATGGTTAGGAGGTTGAGAGACGAAATGGCCCAATTTGCCTCCATGTTTTGCCTCTAAAATTTGATCACTGCATAAAACTTGAGGTTTACAAGTCTGCAAAAGAAGAGAGAAAAAGGAAAAAGAAGTAGTTTCAACTCTGAAACTATGACGGGGTAGTCTCTCTCTATACACACACACACACACACACACACGTATATATACACACATATATACATATATAATGTATATGTATAATATATGTACATATAATACATGTATATATTTGGTCCTATATATTTCTTACCTTGTGGAGCTAATCCTAGTATAGATATGGTACCAAAGCTAAGTCTTTAAAGCTCCCAGAAACATTACAAAGACTTAGAAAGTTAATAAGAACCATATACTTTGTATTTTATGATTTTTCCCAGCATGCAAAGGGCTTTCACTGGCTAGTTATCATCAAACTGGTAGAAAAACCAAAACTATAACTAAGATCTCATTTCTATTCAAAACTTATTCTCCTTTTCTCTTTTGATTTCTATTTATTTTTTATATTACATAGCTAATGCTCAAAAATAAATGAGGGCTCAATATTCTTATGCCAACTGAGATTCTTCAAAGATTTTGTTTGAGCTTTTATTAAGAGAAGCAGCAGAAATGCAGGGAGATAGAGAGTGATTATTAATTGATTATTCATAGTCTCTATTTCTGAGGCTATTTTTATTAATTTTTCTTTTATGTGCTTCTTTTTAGTTTCCAATATTTTCTAAAAAAATGATTTTTGTTTGTGTAATGAAAGAAAAAATTATGTTTTTAATTTTAAAACTACAGAAAAATAAAGACCAGAGTCATTCAATAGTTAACACATAACAGCAGAACCTGGATGAATATTCTCAGCTCTGATACACTGGGGGAAATATTTAACCTATACATGATACATTTTTTTTCTGTTAAGTGAAAAGAGTCATACTTGCCTTTTTACCAAGATATTATATTAATATGTGAAACCATTTTACAAACTAGTTTGAGATACATTTGGTTATTAAATATTATTATTTAGTTTCTTAAAGCATAGCGTTCTTGCTGCTCTAGAACTTCCTTAGTGTTATCATAGAGTGGGTTTTCTAAGAGGTTTGGTCATAGCTGAGTGTTTTTCTGGGTGTTTTCCCAACCTTATCTGGCCAAAGTTTTCATGAAAGTTTTGTTACCTTATTTAAGGTCTTCTTTTTAAAAATCCCCAACAAACTACAAAATGCAGTCAAATTCATGTTGGCTTATTAGTAAAAGCCAAAAATGAATTACAGGAAATTTCTCTGTTACAAAACATTATCTTAAAGTATATCATTTCTTGGAAGTTCATTGTTTAATCTGAGTTGTACTTCATTTAATAGATTTGCTTTAAAGACTAGCCAATAATGGTTTCTAAGTATCAATTTTTCAAATTCAAATGAGATTTCTTAATAATTTAAAATTTTTCACAAATTTCAATTTGTTTAATTTTCTTACCTTAAAATCCTTTATATAAATATAATAAAATGCTAAACCCCAACAGTTGTACAAATTAAATAAGAATACAACAAGAGTTTCTGTCATTATTAAAGAGAGAGATCTGATAAGAGGCATAAAAATTTATTGATACCATCACATTGCTTACACATAATAAGTGCTCAGTAAATATTTGTCAGGTGAGTATAGGAATTATTATAATTCCCAGCATTCCCTTAAGGAAGCATTGGATATGTGAAAAAAGTACCAGCAGTGTTTTTCATTTCCTTATTGTCCTCTTTAATTATTATAATGGATAAGTTTTTAATTTTATTTTTTGTGCTAGCCTTATAGATTTTACAGTTTTTCTTTACATATATTATCCTTTAACACACAATAATCTTAGTTCAGAATACTTACTTACATCACTTTACAGATTAGGACATTAGAGCTTTGAGTGACCATATGGTTTTTTTCCAAGACATGTAATGAGAAAGTAGCAAAGCTAAAGGTGCTACTTCGCTCCTCTGAGAGCAGTGTCCTATGCTTTCACCCCTACGGGGCTTTCTTTTTGTTCTTTAATGGAATGCTCTGAGAGAATCTGTATACAGAAGGCATCACAGAGAAGTATGTGTGCTACAAAATTCAGGTACTTAACTATCCTAATACAAACTTTTTTTGTAAAGCTACAAGATTTGGGGATCAGAGCAATTATTATGCTCACTTGTTAATCATCATGATAAATATATATTTTTATGTATTTATTTGCTTACGTCAGCTTATTTGTAAGAAGCATGTGAGGCTATTTAACTAAGAGCAGTCAAATTCTATTTATAATGTAAATAATAATGGAAACCAATAGTTTGCAAAGCTTTCCACATTCATTATCACATGTGATCCTCATAATAGCTCTGGGGTAGCTGGAGATGGTATAAGTGCAGGTAGAAATGAAGACACTATTCAGATGGAGCATTTCAACCAATTCGCTTGTGAATTTTCTCCGATTTCTGTGATATGGATGTGGAAACTAAAAAAAAAGGCAGACGGAATGCTAAGAAATAGCATGTGACTGAGAACATTGTTCATTTCCTCTTTCAGCAAACCACAGAAAGATAACAAAGGCTACTGTGGCCAGTACAGAGGGGAGGTGTGCAATGCTGTCCTGGCAAAAGATGCTCTTGTTTTCTTCAACAACTCCTACGCAGACCCTGAGGAGGCCCAAGAACTACTGGTCTACACCGCCTGGAATGAACTGAAAGCAGCGAGCCCACTCTGCAGGCCGGCTGCTGAGGCTTTGCTCTGTAACCACGTCTTCCAAGAATGCAACCCTGGAGTAGTACCTACTCCTATACCCATCTGCAGGTAAAATGAAAAATAAATAAGTAATTGAGAAAATTTATTTTCTGTCTGCAAACAAGAAGAGTTTTTAAAAGAGGAAGTTGTCATGTGCAATAATAAGGGCAAAAAACTAGCTTTTGTCCAAATAGAAAGTAATTATTGTGTAAAATTCCTACCATGCAAATCACGGATGATATCTTATGATACAAGGACTCTGGGCTTATAGAAAACATCATAACAGGTGTAATATTCTATTGTCCTTATTATTGTTCACATTTTCATATTCATAAATATCCCTGCTTTCTACAAAAAATTTTTAAAAATTTTTTAAAAACTTTTAAATTTTTGGAACTCGTTAGTAAGCCAAGATAGAGAAGAGAAAATAAAACTACATTTCAAGTGTTTCAGCATTATTTTCCAACAAATATGAGGTTATAGTGAGCATTTTAGAATATTATTTTATATTACATATATATATTACTTTAAAATACATTCCACCCAATATTCTAATTTAAGTACTGCCACTCTTGTCTCATATGAGAGAAGGGGGAGAGACGTAGGTTATAAATAGCTACTTCTTTAAAACCCACCATACTCTTTAAACTGAAATTCATAAATACATATTCCATAGAATTATCTTTGCCTCTATTTACTTCTTATGTAGAAAAGATAGGAATCAATCTGGCTCTTGAGCCAAATAGAACAAAGTTCAAATACTTTTTTTTACCACTTTGTAGATGTATGTGCTCTTGGCTAATCTTCACTTTCCTCATTTCCAAAACAGAATTGAGAGGATTAAGGGATAAATTGCATTCATGGTTTATATCAGAAAAGGGATAGATATTGTTTTCTTTTGAGGAAAACACATAAAAACTACCAACACAGTCCATTTCCACCTCTGTTTTGATGATCCTGGAACTATTTAAATGCTGAAATCATTTCAGGGCACTCTATTTAGCATAGAGAATTACAGTGAGATCATTAAAATAGAGTGCTCTGTGCCTCTACTTACCACAGATTTTGAGGGTTTGGAGACATTGTAAGAGTAATATAATTTTTTATTTCTTCACTTAAGATTGTATTTTCATCAAGCATGACATCTAAGTATCTCTCAAGAGACAACCAGAGTTAAAATTAAATTGTATTATTGTATGCTAGCACAAAATAAATTGTGTAACTTTCCATTATTTATATCCTAGATCAGTTTACATGCATGGGCCACAGATGTTCTTTTTAAAATTGAAAGTAATTTACTGTTTTTGTGTTTTTAGAAAAAATCCCTTTCATTGAGCTTTCAAATTTATAGCATAGTTAATTACTTTCTTAATAGGTAAGTCATGTATAGTATACTTGATAAAATTTTTTTTCCTAATTCCAATTGTTATTTAGATAAGTATTTTTTATCTGAAAATTGTCTCTACTTTTGAAAATCCTTGTAGTTAAACATTTTATTAAAATTGGGGTCAGAAAATATAGTCTAAAAATTTTCACGTTTTTATATTTTATTGAGTTTTTTCTTTTCTCTGATATATAATTAATAATTGTTAAAAAAATTAGATATTTGAAAAAAGAGTCTCTGCTTTTAAGGTACAAAATTAATATATAGTATGTATATATTAGTACCAATAATCAAATTGTCGAATGCTTTCTGCTCTTAAGTAAGTTTTGTCTATTTGATTCAATAGTTCAATAGTGAACATTTTCACAGCAATCGTTTTTGCTAAGAATGTTTTCTTACAATCCTGGCAACGTTAGCTTTTTGCACCAATAACATTTGAACTAAAATTGGGCTTATTGTTAACAATTATTGTTAATAACTAGTAAGGTTATTCTTCATATTTTATGCTTCCTTACTTTTTTGTTATGTCTTTAGTTTTGTTTGCCTTTATTCTTCAAAGTGGATCCAAAGTCTTCAGCCATTTTACATCCTATTTCTAGTTATTTGTGAAATTATTTATTTATTTATTTATTTATTTATTTATTTTTTATTTTTTTAAGAGAGGCAACCCTTAGTTGACCTCACGGATTGCAAGGACCTTGCCAGTTACAATCCCTTATTTTTTATTTTTTATGCCTACAGCACCTGCTCTTCCTAGAAATTTTTTAAAGTGTACTGTTGCTCCTGGTTTTCTAATCGTAAACAGTCATTCTATATAATTTGTGCCTCTTTCCATGAATGACAAGAAGTTTCACTTATTCAACAGATAATTAATGGAGGTCCTACTGGGCTCCAAGTGCTATTCTAGGGTATTTGTCCATGGGGTTTACATTCTAGCAGAAGACAATGAGCGAGAGAAATAATATATTAATAACTTCTATTATTACCTTAGAAGTTATAAAATGTCATAAATAAAAAGAAAAAATGAACACCAGGGTAAGGAAGATCAGAAACGCCAAAGGTAGGGGATGAACATGACAGATACACATTCAAATAAATATTACTCTGGCTTTCTCACACGGAAGCACACACAGCAGTGGGGCAGGATTCAGTTTCCCCTAAGCCAGGGCTAGGTAAGGACCTACATGCTCTCCTAAAACCTGCCGGGAAGGTAGAGCTTTTCTGTTTTGGAAGACACAGCATGCTGTGATGAGGACTGTTTCTCAGGCCCTGCCTATTATCCCCAAGATTATAGGAAAATCTCCCAGGCTGGAAATTGACTGACAATGATCCGTGACTTTAAGTATGTATGTTTTTAAAACTGTGTACCTCGTTTCTGTAACTTTATAGTTATTTTAATATAAGGTTGGAGTAAAATAGATTATTGATTCCTAATCTAATACCTTTTGAATTTAAAAGTTCTTTATTTTTCCCCAAGAAAGAAATACTTTACATGTAATTTTATTTTTTTTAAGTAGCATTGTCTTTTAAAAACAAAACAAGGTAGCATTTTATCTCACAGAATAACATAGGATATTTCATAAAGTCTCACATTATTTACAATAAGACAGTCCTTTCAAAAGCCCTTTCACAAGAACAATGTACTATGATGATGTTTTGAAAATAAAGAATTTAGTTTCTGCCACAAATTCGGCTTTAACATGCCATGATTCATCATCACGTTTTTTTCTCCATAAAATATTTTAGAGAGTATTGCCTGGCAGTAAAGGAACTCTTCTGTGCAAAAGAGTGGCTGGCAATGGAAGAAAAGAACCACAGAAGACCCCACAGATCTGGGACACATCTGTCCTCCATGCCAGAATGCAGCAAGCTCCCCAGCATGCACTGGGACCCCGTGGCCTGTTCCAGACTGCCGTATTTAGGTAACAAAGTTCTCTGAACACTTTGGAGGTTAAGAGAAATGTATCATTTTTGAACAAACTAAAGTGTGAGTGAACGTAAGTCTCCTAATATTTCAAGGCATTTCTAATATTTTTTTGAGTTTTGCCTCCCTCGGATACCTAATAACAGAATCCTAGTGCTATCCGAATTGCACAGGTGAGCATAAGGATTTACTTCATTTGTTCTAAAAGAAATTATAGATCACTTTTAACTGCTGCTTGAGATGTTGCCTTATTTCATAAGGAGATCTTACGAGAGCTTGCAACATTTTCTGGAATGTTCAGAGGATGGCTAAGAAACTTCTCATACTTTGTCAGAGGAATGGAATAAAGAAATAAATTTTTCTTAGCCAATGCAGCAGACTTTTAAGCATGCAAAAATTAGCCACATGTTTGAAAATGCCGACCTCACAAAACAAAGCTGAATCGCTGCATGTTGCTTTAATGAACTTTGTTTGTAAGGAACTCTAACAGCTGGTTTAATTTCAAAGACGCAATCCTTTCACATTCGAATGCAAAGAACGTTTTCCAATTGCATATTAAAGAGCTGAAAGAGAAGTTGCAGTTCTTAGCACTCTCTCACAGAATATATGAGATATCTGGATGCTCATTTAAAACAAATTTTTATCCTTTCCCCCTCAGATTATAAAAAAGAAAACCTAACAAGTAAGTAATTTTGTTTGTGACCGTGAAATCTTATGTGTATGTAAATGGATTCATGCATGCATATTTATACTCATACTTGATAATGTTCAGAACAGAATATACAACTCCTCTCAAAGGCTTGCTACCATCAACGCGCAGGGTAGAACGTGAAGCGTGATTATTAGAAATCTCAGTTTATAGCTTCTAATTAGGCTATGGAGACATAATGAATGATACAAACAATATCTCCTACCTCAAGGTTATTAGCTTACTTGATTCCTTATATAGCTATAAAATGAGCCAAACTGAAAATGTCACCTTTCGATATTGCATTCATGATTTTTTATATCGTCTATAGAGTGAAAACAAATATCTCTTTCTTCATTAAGCCAATTCACAATCTTCATTTGTGACAGCAGATCCTTCTTTTGGAAGATAGGAGATTTTTTAAAAACAGTTAAAGTTTACAGGGACAATCAAGTGGTTTTAAATGTGTAGTCTCAAAATTCCTAAGAAAGAATTCAAGAAATTTGCTCGAAAAGGGATGTCCCAGAAACTAACTTGTATCAGAGAGTGCCTTAACCTAGCAGAATGCAGTAATTCTCAGAATGATATTAGAAAAGTTTTTCATGTCAGTTTACTTCCCTCTACTTGACTGTTCTAAGGCTTAAATCATACTTGCTTCCTGTGACACATAGTCCAGCCTAATAGCCTCTGCACTTGGCTAAGTGCCAGGACTTGATTTTACCAGCGTACTTAAAGAACTAAGATTTAAAGCATTAAAAGAAAGAATGCTACTGGTTGCAAATGAATCATGGCTCAGAGTTAGTAAAAAAGCATAGTTATGGAAAAAAACAACAACCTCTATTGTTCTTTGCCATACAAGCAGCCAAACTTTACTTTGATTGGACATTTAATTGATGACTGTGGTCTTTGTTATCTTTTGATTGTTTACTCATTCATCCATTCAAGTGTCCATTGAAGGTTTCCTTTATAGAACGAGCTGACTTTTAATCCTAGATTAGACAGGAACAACCCGCACGGAAAAGCATCCATATTTCTGCCTTTTACACCTATCATAAGGATAGAATTATACATTAGCTACAATAAACTCATTTCCTATTCATAAAATGCAGTTTTCTGAAATATTTTGTATAGGTAAGAACATGAACTCCAAATGATCATTTCTTCTGAACATGCGATGAGGAATGTTTAAAAGTGTTCTCCCCAAGTTAAATGCAATTCTTATTAAAGAAATTGGCTTTATCTCTTCAGATAGGTCATCTATATTAGGTAATGCCCCATATTCTATGGGAGTGTGTGAAGCCCTCAAACATTTTTTGAAGAGTTTCTTGATTTCTGAGTAAACTCAAAAGGATCTTACTAGTTCACTTTGAAGGGTGATGGAAGATTTTTGTAAAAATCATTAGTTTATCTTTTGCATTATTCCTTCTTGCTTGAACACATAGACTAGAATTTTAGGAGTTTTTATTTTATAACTTCTTTTGCATAAGTGAAATATCTTTTTAAGCATCTAATGCCTTTATATTATTCTCACTATTTGTCTACTTAGCAGGCATTTCACTATTCCTGGATTCTCTGGGGCTGCACATAATTTATGTATTTCCTCAGATTTGGGTGATTAGAGCCTTTGAATTCTTGCATATTTTCAGGATATCTTTCTTTTACATGGATAGTCGAAAGCTATATTAGCCAGATATAGAATTCTTGAGTGACATTTCTTATCTCTCAGTAGTCTAAATATATGATTCCACTCTTTTCTAGCTTCTAGTTTTGAAAATGAATTATCTGAATCTGGTTACTTTTTCCTTTAAGTAACTTGTTCTTTCTATCTACATAGAAACATAAATTTTCTTTCTCCTTGTTATCTATAAGGTGGAAATCCTATATAATGGTGTGTTACTGAACATCTCTTTCCAACTCCATATTCAGGACTTCATATTGACAGCTTGAAATCAGTCGTGATGGAAGTATTTATACCATGCAAGTCAGGTTGCAGCTGGGTGATTCTTCTAAGTCAAAAGTTGGTGATGCTGCTCTACTATTTAAAACCCCCCAGTAATTCTCTCCATTGACTACAGGGCAAAGGCCAGATTAAACTTAACTTGGTATGCAAGGCCTTTAATGACCAAGACCCGACATCTGCAGCCTTACTCGTAGACACTCCTCAACTCAACAATGAAACTTTTACGTGCACTTTTAGAAAGGCATCACAACTTCTTGGCTAGGGCCCTGGTTCGTGTTATTCCTTCTTTATAGAATACTATCTTCCTACCCTGACTCCACCCAAATCCTTCCCCCTCTCCACACACACACATACACCTTCAACTGGTCATTGCCTACTCACCTGTATACTTAAATTAGTTACATTAGAAAACTTATCCAGTATGCCTAGACCTGGAGCTGGGCTGCCCTTGGATGCTCACAAGCATCCTGTTCTTACTGTTCTTATGACACTTTTTACATTTTACTGCATTTATCTGTTTACTAATTGTTCCCCAGTTAAACACTTCAACACAAACACTTGTCATGTCCACCACAGGATTCTTAATACCTAATAATCAATATTAATTTAATGAATACATTAATGTATGGCTGAGTGGGTTAATGAAATTCCCCTGATGTTCACAGGAGAAGGATAAAGAGGTAAAATTGATGAGAAGAAAAAGTTAAAAGGAAAGAAACTGGAGATCCAAACCGATCATTTGAATGCAAAGATATAACTAATGTCACTCTAAAAAATACCAGAGCAAATAGATCGGAAAATATAATCAAGGAAAAACAAAATTCTCCTGAGAGGAAGAAGTAATTAAATCCATGAAGCAAAACTATTGTTCAAACTTATGCCAAATCTTGCATTTTGAAAATAAATCTTACTAAATCATCATAGATTATTATTTTACTATGCCATTGAATTCTATTTTCTGATATTTTTCAGAAAAATTGCCCTTATACTTACTAATAAGATTATACTACCATTTATGAATTACATTACATGTTAAATATGGTATGAACTGCTCTGTAAAATCCAGATATAAAATAGTCATTTCTTCCTGTCTTTCCACAATTGTCCCTACTTTATTATTAGCAGCAGATTTCACTGTCCAACTTAAGCCCCCTTTCTCACCCACCTTAGATTGATTTTAAAAACCTTCGATGACTCAGTCCAAAGAAAATCATATCGGCTTTCAAATCAATCATAGACGAACCAGGGAAGTTTGTTAAGTCCACCATTTCTGTGATGCTAGACGGGAAGTGCTGTCGTTGGTACTGCACGGATGTTTTACTGCTGTGCTGACGTTCTTCCAGGTCCAGGTGCCCGTCTGAGTCACAGCGATGGCCAGACTTGGTCTCCATGGGCTTCAAAAGGGCTTGCTTAACTGTGGGTGCTCGGGACATAATCACTGTGTCCACCCACTCCCAGGCTAAGGAGTCATACGAGGGCACCCCTTGTAATCCCTGTTTTTACAGTGTCCTGTTTCAGATGGCTTTAGGCACCTATTGCAGTAAAAGTTTTCTTTTGACTTTGTAATGTTTTATATTAATATATTTCCTTACATTAAATTATTATTCTCTTACCATACTGCTAATATTGCCCATGGCTAATGTTTCATTTAGGATCTTTTAAATCGATGTTCAATAATCTATGAATGTGCTTTTCTATTGTGCTAACATTGTTCGGTTGTGATACTAGTATAATAACTTTCTAAAATAATTTGAAAGATTTTTCTCCTACTGGAACATTAGAAAATATGAAAACGTTATCTCTTCCAAGACAGAAAGACTATATCCATAATTCTATAATGACCTTTAAATTTCCTAGTTGTAGCTATATTCAGATTTTCTAATTCTTCAAATTTGATATCATTTTTCTTAAGATTTTAAAATGTAATTGCATAATTATACATTATTTTATTTTTATTGACATTTGAATTTATTGTCATAATTTCATCATTCCTAATTTATGTTTGTGCCCTTCTCATGTATTTAAAATTAAAATTCCTCTGACTAGACCACTTAATAATATTTATTAAGACCAACTGTTGACTTATTTTTTAATTCTATTATTTGTGGTATGTGTATTCTAACTTATTAATTTCCACTTGTCCATGACTGTTACTTTATCATCTATTTTCCTTTGTTTTCTGTAGTTTTTGTTTCCTTTCCAGAGTCTTGAATCAAACATTCAGTACCTTCACTTTTTTTTAATCTATTGGAAAGAGATAACACTATGAGTTTATCATTCAGCACAGCTTTGTCTAAATTCCATACACACTATGAGGAAGTTATTTTCTAATCTGTAACTATGGTTACTTTTTACTCTTTGAAAAGATATTGAATTTTTTTTTATCTTGTTGGATTTTATTTAATCTGTTGTTAATTGCATTTTAGTCAAAGAATAGATCTGCATAATTTCTGCTTTTGAATTTTATAAAGATTTACCTATGTGGCCTGACAAAAAGTCATGTCTGTCAGTATTCCACAAATATTTGAAAATCGGGTTTACTTTCTCTTTTTAGGGAACAAAGTTCATACTTTATTATTAAAACATCCTTGTCGATTATATTATTAAAATACTCTGTATCCATGTTTTTTCTTTACTCAATCAATTAAAAGGATTTAAAAGTAATTAATATGGTTGTTTTAATAGATACACAATGGACTTTGCACTCTACAGAGTGATATGAGTATGGCATCTTTTGGTTTCCAGCAGTAATGTAGATTTTACCTTGTTTTTATATTGCATTGACCTTTTAATAGGAGTTTGACAGAAGTCCAATTTTTAGATGAACTAAATTCTGTTCATTTGTGTCCCAGCATTTTCATTTTTCATTTTCTCCATTAATTTTATTCTGTTTGTAAATAAACAGTGAATGTGTATAAAATTCACCTTTAGACCATCTTGACTTTGCTATTTAATTTCATAAAAATATTTTATTTAATAACTTAATTTCCATGATTGTTGTCAAGTCATAAGCGATACAATGCAGTGTAATGAGCACTAGCCCAAGATCTGCATGTATTGCAGAAAAAAAAAAAAATTTCTACTATTTCTATAAGCTGGGTTTACTCACAACTGGACCTCACTGGATTCTCACAATTGGACTTTATAGATGTATAACCAAGGAGAATCTGATACATTAAAACATACTCTTAAAATTAAATTTAGTTCACTGGATGCTTGAATACAAAAAATTGCATCTTAAAAGTTTAAGAATGAATGAAAAGAATTATTGTTTACTTTCAGCATTCCCACCAGTGACGTCCTCAAAGCCAAGTGTGGACATTCCAAATTTGCCTTCCTCCTCCTCCTCCTCCTTCTCTGTCTCACCTACATACTCCATGACTGTGATAATCTCCATCATGTCCAGCTTTGCAGTATTTGTGCTTCTTACCATAACTACTCTTTATTGCTGCCGAAGACGGAAACAGTGGAAAAATAAAAAAAGGTAAGATTCTAGTTAAGCTAATCACCCGTAGTAATGTTCTAAAATGTACATATTTATTATGGGAATTGGGGACAGGAGGCGGAATACATATAACTCTGCCAGTCTCTTTATGACATCCACCGCATTGCTTTAAAATTGAACACTCCCATCATGATCTTTAAAAATATTGATACTTTTTGCAGAGGATCACACGTCCTAAGGTTAATTTTTCACAGCAGATAGAAGCTCCACAGTAATTTGGAAGAATACAGCTATTCTCATCTTCCCCCTCATCTCCACTGCCACTGCTAGATTGGATAGTAACAAAATTCCTGAGAAAATGTGACTTTTGCTTCCAGAACAAAACAACAAAAATACTTCATTGCTCTAAAACTGAAGGTTCTTCGGCTGCTTAGTATAATTTATTTTGTTTCCTTCCAAACACAATATCTCTTTGGAACCTCAGTCTGATCGCAAAGATCTCACCTGATACTGACCTCATTCCTGATCTTACCTGTCTTAACCTGCAGAGAATCAGCAGCAGTAACCCTCACTACTCTTCCTTCTGAGCTCTTGCTAGACAGACTTCATCCCAATCCCATGTACCAGAGGATGCCACTCCTTCTGAATCCCAAATTGCTCAGCCTGGAGTATCCAAGGAATAACATTGAATATGTGAGAGATATCGGTGAGGGAGCGTTCGGAAGGGTCTTTCAAGCAAGGTAAAGTCACCCTTATAAAAATTCTCTCCACTGAAATACGCTATGCCTGAAAAGTTACCAGACCATTACCTTGATGTTGATATAATATGTATATTAGTTATTATCAAATTAGTTAATTCTTCGTGTCATTAAACTTATTCATATTAAGTATTATACTTTGAACCTAAATAATTTCCCTCTCTGCTGGAAAAATAGGGTTGCGTATATGGAGAGAATCTTTGTATAATATTCAAACTACAAGCACTTAGCAAAGTTTAATCAACTTTCCTTTTCAGAAAAGAACTTATACATTTTTAATCATACTCCCTTGCATTGTTCTTAGTAAGTAATTCTCAAATTTACTTCTCTTCCATTTCCTAAAGCTATATTCTCTACTTCATTTAAAGTTTACTTTGAACTAGTGTTTCAGTATAAGGATTCAGAGCCTGATGTGTGTAGATATTAAACAGGTGTTCATAGAATGGCAAAATGGAAGAGGAAAAAATTATGCAAAAAATTATGCAAAAAATTATGCAAAAATGTCAGAAAACAATGAGCTCAAGAAACAAGCATGTATTAGGGCCAACACTAGCTCTTTGTGTAAATTGGAATAAAATACCCTCTCTGCATGGATGTAGCTCCATAGACACACAGCTGGACCACAGAACGTGGACCCAAGTACCGCTTTGGCCTGGTGCTCTTGATCAGGACACAACTTTATGTCAACTTTTATGGCCCTGGTATGTTTACATGATTAACGAAAATTTCTCACAAATACTTACTGAAAACCAAAAAAAATGCAAGGTATCATTTTAGGTGCTTTGGGGATATAGAGATGAATAAGTCATGGCCCCTGCCTTCCAGGAATTTAGATTCTGACCAGAGATTAAGGAGTTAGGATGGTAATGATAATCCCTCTGGGTCTGTGCACTTTCGAATTCCTGTAATTTATAAATGATGCATTTTTCTGTAATTTATAAATGATGCATTAGTCTACGGAAAATAGCATCGGTTATTTTTATTAATTGGAGTCAAAGAATTTTAAGTACTGTCTACTGCTGGCATCTTTTTTTGATTCTGTGACTCTGGGAAAGGCTGCATAAATGCGGTGGGAGAGGGGATGTATATGAATGTGGGTAGATATACCGTGACTATGTATAATATTCCTGATCTCACATTTCTTTCTAAATGTTTCTTTCAGGGCTCCAGGCTTACTTCCCTCTGAACCTTTCACTATGGTGGCAGTGAAGATGCTCAAAGAAGAAGCTTCAGCAGACATGCAAGCAGACTTTCAGAGGGAGGCAGCCCTCATGGCAGAATTTGATAATCCTAACATTGTGAAACTCTTAGGTATGAAAATATAAGTGAAGAAATTTATCATATCAGCAAACGGAGTCTTTCCGAGGTTTTCATACTTTATGCTTTTTTCCTTCAATCCTTCCTCAGAGAGATAGATGTCTCTGTTCCTTTCCATATAATATTTTCTGTATCAAGGAGTGGAACATTTCGTTAAATCACCTCAGTTCAAAAAAGTTGGCTTTTTGAAAATTTCTCAGAGAAATATGTTGTCCTTTCTTTAATATTCTCTCTAGTACATGTAAATATAACAATTGCTAAAGTTCCCAGAATTAAAAACTAATCCTAAAATAAATAAGCCAAGATAATAGTGTTCCTTATTTCTCTTTCCTTTTGAACAAAGACTTGTAATTATAGCCTGAAAAAAATAATAGATCTAATAATCTGTTTTACGGTGATGTAAAATTGTGCCCAAATAATCTAATATTACAAGTTGCCCATTTTCCCTCTCAAATGTAGCAAGATTTAAGATTTGCAAATGTCCTCCTGACACGAAACTTAAGACTCTATTTATATTAACATTTTTTTCCTTTTTAGAATGAACATTGTAAAACCTAAATATCAGAATGTTTTATTGCAGCAACCTGAAAACTTCATCTAAGATCTTGCAGTGTTTTTGTTATTCTTTCCAAATTTCATACGACACCTTCCTTATTAACCCACTTCGGAGAAGTAGCAGAAACACAGAGGAATTATGCTATATACTCAAAGCAAACATCTATTCATAAATTCACTCAGCAAACACTGAGCACTTGCTCACCAGACACTTGATAGATTTGCAGAATTTTAAGAAGAAGAAGACATGATCTCTACCTTTAAAGTATATAAATGTTGGCGGGGGCGAGGGGGAACTTAAAATAAATGGACAATTATAACATAGGATAGATAGTAGGTGTATGTTAAAGGATGACAGAAGGAAAATCTGATACTGGAAGGGTTGGGAGCTAAGGTACTCTGAAAGGAGTGATAAATAAGCTGCATCTTAAAAGGAAAATAGAAAACGTGTACACAAAGAGATGGGGTCTGTATTCGACTATGATGCTACCAACAAAAAAACCAGGACTCCATATTTTCTGATCTGGTCATTTGCTTTTAGAATGCTCTTTGCAGTGTGTCGCCTTAGAAATCCAACCTAACCGAGGATGTCGTTTTGGTTCCAGGGGTGTGTGCTGTGGGGAAACCCATGTGCCTGCTCTTTGAGTACATGGCCTATGGCGACCTCAACGAGTTTCTTCGCAGCATGTCTCCTCACACTGTGTGCAGCCTCAGCCACAGCGACTTGTCCACGAGGGCTCAGGTGTCCAGCCCTGGACCCCCACCCCTCTCCTGTGCTGAGCAGCTCTGCATCGCCAGGCAGGTAGCAGCTGGCATGGCTTACCTCTCAGAGCGCAAGTTTGTCCACCGGGATTTAGCCACCAGGAACTGCCTGGTGGGTGAGAACATGGTGGTGAAAATTGCCGACTTTGGCCTCTCTAGGAACATCTACTCAGCGGATTACTACAAAGCTAATGAAAATGATGCTATCCCTATTCGCTGGATGCCTCCTGAGTCCATTTTCTATAACCGCTACACCACAGAGTCCGACGTATGGGCCTACGGTGTGCTCCTGTGGGAGATCTTCTCCTATGGCCTGCAGCCCTACTATGGGATGGCCCATGAGGAGGTCATTTACTACGTGCGAGATGGCAACATCCTCTCCTGCCCTGAGAATTGCCCCCTAGAGCTGTACAATCTGATGCGGCTCTGTTGGAGCCAGCTGCCTGCGGACAGACCCAGCTTCGCCAGTATTCACCGAATTCTGGAACGTATGTGTGAGAGGGCAGAGGGAACTGTGAGTGTCTAAGGTCGAGGATGTGCAAATCAGACACTGCCACCTCCTCTCAGGCTCTGTGAGCCCGAGGAAGCCAAGGCCAGAGGCCCAACAAGACCCAAATAGAAAAGAATAATAGTAGGCACTGAATAGAGTGCTGTTTGTTTCTCGGGAAAAACTAAAACTCATAGAGTAGACTGATCTGTTGAAAGTTGATGATTGGAAATGCAAGCTAGGAAATATGTCAGATAACCAGAGATAATGACTCTTCCTCGGGGGAAAGTTTGTATTACATATTGTACAGGAAAGAACATCATCTGTTCAGTTCCTGAATTAGCTGACAGCAGAGTAAGAGTCTGCTGTATTAAATTTTCATATGAAATGTGATACAGAGCTTCATTTTTAATAGAGTTAATTCTTGTTCATTATGAAAGTAGTAGCATAGCTTCATGTAAGATCTTTAAGTAATGCACAGAAAACTAAAAAGAAAAACCATTTATTGTCTACACACCCAAAGATGGGTGTTAATTTTGTATTGTCTTTCTTGCATTTAATGCATACTTTTGTATTTATCTATAATCTACAGAGTTGTGGTTTACTTTGTTGATAGGGGATTTGTAAGGAATAAAATGACAAGTCAGCAAGGCTCTATTCTTACTGTAATTTTTCCCTTTTCTGTCTTTGTGCTTCTCCTTCAGAAGATTTTCTTTTGTATGCGCTTGTCATGAATTTAATCTTTAATCTGCTTATTTTATTCTTACAGTTTTTCTGAAAAATGTTTTTGTGTCCTAAATTTTATTTTTTCTTTGAAATTTTTATTGGTATATTTTTTTTTGCTTTAATCTTTATTCCTTCTTCTTATGAGAACTTTCTGTCCTTTTTCCAAATTCTCCTGGAAAGCAAATAAACAGGGGAAAGAAAACAGCAGTCTACCCATTTACTTTAATTCAAACTAATTGGTAGTTAGGCAATGGAGAAATCATCTGACTGCTTGAAAGGAAATTTTCAACTGTCTGCCAGAAGGCTCCACCTGAAATCTTCAAATCTATCTTCATATAACGACTTGTCATCTTTTCTGGAAAACCTTCCATTTCTCATTCATAGTCACTCCAGGCAACCAAGACAAAAATAGAAATTACCCAAGACTTTGCCCTCTCCATCACCCCTGATTGTCTATAGATTTTACTTTCTAAAATCCTCCTACTCACATCCCCTCGCTTAAACCTGCCTGCCCATTACTCAAGCTTTATTAGTATTTACCTACCTTCATCTAATCTTTTTCCCTTTTCAGGCCAGAGCATATTCCACGGGCTAGGACAATGTAAGGACGTACTTATTCACAGTTCTGATTCATAAATAGGGAATTAGGAAGTTAGGATAGAGACCTAAATCCAAACTAAGAGAGTCATCCAAAGCACTACATGAAGAATAAGGTTGCAGCATAAGCCCAAAACAGAAGGCCGTGAGGCCAGCAAAGCAGAGAAATTGGAGAGGGCCACCAGCAAGTCTAAAACTTTCGTGAAGGTGTCCATGGCGTATTATAAATGGTTCATCTACATTTTTCACATATGCTCTGCAAACTTCAGAGATGTCCTCAGGTTTCCTCAGCTAATAGAGTTTTATTATAAGAGAAGGAAATAGAAGTCAGGCTAATCCAAAAAGCTAACCCATGGAAAAGCGGGTCGGAACAGTTACTCAGGTATCTACCATGTGGCTTGTGCTGCAGGTATTGCATTGCCCCCCACCCCCCAAAACCAGGTCTCGCTGGCCCAGTTCTATCATCTGCCACTTGGAGCTAGTCCCTGCTTCCCCGCCCCGCACTGCCGAATCACTGCCCTGCCTTTCCTGTCTCTTCCTCGTGGCTTCCACAGCCTCACGGATTCTTGCTCTGCGTGTTTTAGGCTCTGGTATTCAAGATCCCAAAGTAAAAAAAATCAAAGAAATGTAGATAAATACAGTGAGTGAGTGGGCAAGTAAAACAAGTAAATATCATGTAACCATTCAGCCTTATTAAACATTTAAAGTAATTGACAACTAAAATAACAAGTAGAACTCTCATTATAGTAATAGTTGTAATATAAATAATACCACCAGATAGCATTTATTGAATGCTTACCCTGTATATTCTAAGGACTCCAGATATAATAACTTATACCACATAAGATCCCTGTGTCTTGGTACTGACATTATGCCCATGTTTTAGGTGAGCAAACAGGCACAGAGAGATTGCGTAACTGGCCCAAGCATACAAAGCGACAGACCAAAAGAGACTGAGCTCTCGACCATCATCCTGTGATGCTTCAGTTCGTTAGAGAGGGAACAACTGAACCTCCATGCCTGTGTGGAGGTGACTTGTAATTTGCATGTAGTTTCAGAGCACACACTATACCCCTTATACTGTGCATTTCCTATCCAAGTCTTTTTATTGAACAGCAAAAAAGTCAGTATATTGTCAGTATAATCAGAAAGTCAAATAGAATGTCAGTATAATCAGAAAGTCAAATAGAATGCATGTTTATTTCTTTTGTTAGCTAACTAAATGCATTTTTCTATTTATGTCAAGATCACTCTTATTTCCTTACTACTCATCCCAAGGCTTCATGTTCAGGAATATGGACCCATTTTTTACTGGTATTGTATTCTTTTTTAAATAAAGATTTCTTTTATTGTAAAATCACTGTATAAATTCGAAAAGAGAGACAAGAGAGAGACACTCACAGTGCCACTATTAACAATTGTCAGGACAGACAACAGTGAGACACCAACAAGTCATCTTAAGTGGTAAAATATCAAGCACAGCAAGAATACCAGAGTATAGCACATAGCAATGAAGCATAAAAAGAACACTTCCCTTCACTCTGCAGTATATTATGAACCTCTTCCATGTCATAAAATATTCTTCAAAAAGTTCAATTTGATTTCTGAATGATATTTCATTTTATGGCTATACAATAATAACTTAGTTAATCTCTTATTTTTTAACATTTGAGTTTTCTTTCTAATTTTCACTATTATAAAGGATACTATAATGATCATCCTTATTTCCACTTACCCATAATTATTTATTTATGGACATTCTGAGAAATAGAATGTCTAGGCCAAATGGAACGTACAATGTTAAGGCTTTTGTTATGCATTGCCATGTTCTCTAGAAATAGTGTTCTCATCTCCACATTTACAGGAGACCTCATAGCCCTAATCATTTGCTTATAGAGAATTAATTCTCTATTTTTAAGAAGCCTTTTGTCTATCTGATCATAGAAAAAGATTATCTCATTTTCATTTTATTTTTTAAATTACTAGTGAGGTTAAATTTTTCTTGTACCTAGGTCATTTATAGTTTTTATTTTGGTAATCACCTACAGCCTATTTTTCTATTGTGTTGTTCATTTTCTAATTTATTATAAGACTTATTTTACAAAAAGATATCAAACTTTTGTCATACTTTACACAAAGGAGAAACTATATACATACTTTTACTTTAAAATAACATTTACAGTTGACCCTTGAACAATATAGGTTTGAACTCTATGGGTCCACTTATACATGGATGTTTTTCAAGAAATACCTATACTGTTTTTGATCAGTGGTTGGGAGTCTGCAGATGCAGAATGTGGACTGTATGTGTTGATCTACACCATTTTGTACATGGGTTTGAGCATCAGCGCAGTTTGGCATCCACAGGGGATCCTGGAAGCGATCTCACCTTGAATATTGAGGAACAACTTAAGTTTTTGGGAAATCAAAAGTTATATGTGAATTTTTAACTGTGTGGGGGGGTTGGCACTCCTAACTCCATGTTGTTCAAGGGTCAACTGTATTTTTTTATTGCAAAAGCAATAGTTGTTTATTTTTTGAAAAGGTAAATTAATAAGCAATAATATACAATATATACATGGTATACTAAAGAATATGAAAAAACGCCAATCAGTAGTATCTAACATTAACATCAGTATATTCTTTCAGCCTTTTTCAGATATAGATGATAGATAGATAGAGATAGATAGATAATTTTAAAAACAAGATTATACCGTTATATTGTTTCAAGCTTTGCTTTTATCACTGAATGTCTCATAAACATCTTCCATATCAAGTATTCATACATATCACTTTTGATGGCTGAATAGTATTTTTTATATGGGCTCATCAATTTACTTAACTATTATTCCATTGTTGGACATTTGGGTTATTTCCATTTTTCATTATAAAATATAATGTTTTGGTAATTAATCTTGTTGCTAAGTTTCATGAGCATCTATCTTAATTGGTGAGTTCTTTAGATATAACTCCTAGAAATGGAATTTCTAAATCAAAGGGTATATACACTTTTAATGCTTTTTAATTTATTGAGAAATTACCTCCCTGAATTATTTTATCAATGTATACATCTTTCATTCAAATGAGTCAGTTCTTTCAACTTCACCAATACTGAGCATTAGCATTTTAATCATTGCTGATATAATAGCTTAAATTTTTTATTTTGTAGCTTATGCTTACATTTCTTTAAATAAGATAAGGTCGAACATGTTTTAACATTTTGAGGACAATTGATTTACTCTGTGATTTGCCTCCTACTGCTATTTTACTATTGATTGTGTCTTTTTGTTGTTGTTCCTTCGTAAAAGCACTTTATATATAAGGAGTGAAATTTTGTCATACAGGTTTTACCTACTTTTATCATGTTAAAAATGTACAATTCTATTTGTCTTTACTATAAGATTTTATTAACCGGGAAAAAATGCTGAATTTTCAGTTTGTTGAGATGACTATAGCTTTTGCTTTAATCAATCCGTTAATATATAGAAATGTATGAATTGATTTTCTAATGTTGAAATAGCTTTATGTTCTGAAAATGATCCCCCTTTGGATGTGTCACATTAATATTTTAATTACTACTAAATCTGTTTTATTAACATTTACATCAATATTTATAAATTCATGAATTTATAATGATAAATGCAAGTTTATCATTTCTTCTTTGTTAGTTTGGTGTCAGCATTATGATAGTTTCAAAAACTTCTAAGTTTTTCTGTGATCGTGAT